TTTTTTTGGTTTTTCTCCGGTACCAGGAACTGAACTCACGACCTTGCGCTTGCCAGGCAGGCGCTTTGCCGCTGAGCTAAATCCCCAGCCCCGATGGGTCATTTTTATTAGCTTCTCCCTCTCTCTGGACCACTCCAGTACTTCTCTGGCTGCCAAACTCTGGAGAGAAGTGGCGCCCCCGCTGGGTGACATCCCAATGGGACAAAGAGCTTAGAGAGGGAGAGGATAATTACAGGGAGTGTGAAGGGGGTATGTTGCCTTTCACATCTTTAAACAAGCAGTTGGCAGTACCCTTTGAAATCTTTCCCTCTCCAGCTCCACCGCCTCCCCCCAACCTGGCATCATGCCTCCTTCCAAGAGCTGGCCAGCTTCAGAAAGCACGACAGCACGCTTCCTGCCAAGCCACCTATGTGCATTCGGGATGTTCCTAATGGTTTAATAAACTGTTATAAAGAACTCCTTGACTTGTCAGGATAAAATAGCTGCCAAGGGCTCTGCATGGCAAGCTTTTTGCCATTAATAATCACGTTGTGTAGTGAGCAGATAGTGATACAGATGATCATGTGTACCACACCAGCCTGGACCAGGCAGAGGCCAAGGGCAGGAAGGATGCCAGGCCCTGCCTCTGTATTCAGACGATGAATGGTGTGGCAGTGTCCTGGAGGCATGCTGGGTTCAGAGAGAGAGAAAAAAAGAAGAAATGCAGAACATGGCTGGAATGAGGGGTACATTTGGCAAAAACCAGTTGGCTACAGACCTCACTAGAATTGGCACTGGCTGAGGAGTCAGGCCACCCCTGGGCTAACTCTGAAGGCTTCACTTGCTGCCTGACAAAGCTGGCCAGGATGATTATTGTTCCCAGTGTGTGAGTTCCCTCAGGTAGGGGAAACATTGATTGCATTCCTTGCCCCCAATACAGATCACTGTCCTTGGCCCAGTGCAGATTCTCCATCATTTGACAAATAGAATTAAGACAGATTAGCTGCCCAGAACAGATGCCCAAACTAAGGTTAGCTAGCCAGAGGTGGTTAGCAGGGCCTCATTAGAATGCCTTAAGTCAAGCTTCTTCAGGGTCCATGCATTTGTACCTCCAAACTAAAAATGTAATTTGTCCAATGGTAAGAAGTGCAGATTCACACCAGGACTTCCCCAAACAACAGCCAAATTCTTCCTCACACAGGAGGGTCATGTTGGTCCTTGATGGGAATTAGAATAAACCACAGACACAGCAGTATTCCAAGGTCACCTCTAGCCTGGGCACCCTTGAACAGGGCCCAGCTGGTGTCATTCTACTAAATCTACAGGCAATCCTCAGAGGCTGTGTCTACCAAAGAAATGTTAAAGTGAAATAGGATTCCATGCACTCACTGTGTCCTCTCTCCTGATCTGTTATATCAATTTAGCTTTAAACTAATGACTTGTGACTTGTTACTATCACCACTTACTTTCATTAGCCTTGGTAGTGGTGATAGTACTATATAAAGGTCTGCCTTTAGAAAATGAAGAATACACTTGAACTCTGGACTGGGTCAAACCATCCACTACCCATTGTTTATTCAGTTGGCAAGCATTTTTCCAGCACCTACAACATTCCATGTATCGCACTAAGATTTGGGAATGCCGAAGTGCTAGTCCTTGGGTCTCTCACACCACAAAGGCAGAGATGAACATGCAATTTTTTGGGAATTTGTTTAAGTAGCTGTTGTCTCCATTCCTGCCTTCATCTCCTCAAACGCTTTTGGTTGGTTATGGAGGATGCCTCCAGGTCAGAGTGTGTCCTAGGCAGGGAATGAGGAAAAGGCGACAGAAATGCTCCAAGGCCCATGCTATGGTAGCCTCGTGGGCAATTCCAGTTAAGTTGGAATTTCTCATTAGTGTGTCAACTGCTGGTCAAAGGGAGGCATCAGGATTTCCTTGCAGAGAAACTCAGGAGAGGCTGGGCACACAGGCCAGCTTTCCTGATGTATACAAACTGTGAGATGTTGGAAGGGTGCCCCGAGGAGCAATTTCAGACACTGGCAGGACATCTTCTTGGGGCATCCTGAGGACCCGTGCTTCTAGCTGATGGACCCGTTAGGACAGGCTGAGGGGCTGCATTTGCTCTCAGTGTGGGTGGTGAGGCCAACCTGGGGAGAAGGAACAGGCAGGGTGTCTGCCCTCTGGAAGATTCTGGTTCTCAGAAGATCCACAGGAAATACCTTCTTCCACTTGACCAGGTGTCACTCTACTAAGCCATCTGTGAGAAACTTCACTCGAGAGCCAGTTCTCCAGGAAAACACTTCCCCAGAGGAGAACAGCTCTGCTTCCCAGTAAAATTGTCACCAAGACACTGCCCATCATGCTGGTCAGGGCCCCCGTGGAAAAAAAAAAAATCTAATGAGGTTAACTTCTGCAGAGTACAGGCCTCTCCCCTCAACCTCAACTGCTGCCTGCTTTTAATCCAAAGAAAACCATGACATCTCCCTTTTTGCTTCAGTGGCTGGGAAGATTAATACTAAGTAATGTGCTCAATTGTAGCAGCTTCTCTTAGCCTAGATTTGGGATATTTTTAACTCCTATTATCACACATGTGTGCACACACACAGGCACATACACTCAGTCGTATTTTCTTTTAGTCTTTCTGGAAATAGATGGAGAACACACCTACCGGGATGCGTTGATTTACCCAGCAGTTCTACCTGAGGGGCCCCTAGTGCCAGGAATGGTGGAGAGGAAGCAGCTGTTTTCCATCCAGTAACGAAGGGAAGGGAAAATGCAAAGGGGCCCACACTGGCAGCAACTGTCAGGGCCAATGGGCGCCATAGATGCTCAGGGAGGGAGTCGTTCCCATGGCCTGGAACAGCCAGGTCAGGCTCAGGGGCGAAGGTGACACAGACACTCGGTGGACAGGAAATGGTCGGAAATCAGAGCTATTCTGGAGTTGGGCAGATGTACCTCTCCAGGCTTGGCCCATCTGATGCCCATATTCTCCCTTGTTTGGATCAGGGACTGGACATTGATGCCACCCAACTCCAGAGCCTTCTCAACCAGGAGTTCCTGACAGGTACAGTCAGCCTGAGCCTGCCGGTCCCAGCCTTATCTCCCTCACCCCATCCACCCTACGGACAACTCAGCCCTTCCTGCTCTCTCTCCTCAGGACCTCCAGGGGACACTTTCTCTTTTGACGAGTGCCGCAGTATTGTGGCCCTGATGGATGTATCCTTTCCATTCTCCGTTTTACTCAGCCCCAGGAGCCCATCCACTTTGTGGCCTTCCCAGGGTCTCCAGAGGCCTGGGATACTGTGCGTTCTCCACACAGAAGAACTCTTCAGATGAATCCACAGTGGTAGCAAGACCGACCATCCATCAAGCATTTAAATTGTACTGGTGAATATATATAGGTTTTCCTTATAATTTTTGCGACAGTCTGGTTAGTATAAGTAGTATCCCACTGTACAGTGGATGAACAGGGATTTGGGGAGCTTCAGTAAATGACTCAGATTACACAGCTAGGCAGGACTTGTGCCCAAGTTTGAAGAAGGAATTTCACCTTCAAGTCCATGTACTGACATCATTGTACACCTCCTCCTTTGAGCACCAGTGAGGACCACTTCCTTTCCCTATTTCCCTTACCACTGCAGAAGTCTTCCCTACTTAATTTTCTTACTCATTGAGCCCCATTTTAATAGAGATAACCACCCAAACCTGCAGAAGCCTCCTTGGTCTGCAGAGCAGCTGCATCCATTGCTACTAACATGCTGTGTTTGCAGACATGGACACTGCAGATCAGTGACAGCAAGCGGCAAAATCAAAAATGAAATCCCAGCCCCCTGACTTCCATCCCTCCTTCCACTCTCCCCGGAGCAGTTTCAGCCCTGCCTGTACCAGCTCCCTACAGGAAGGAGAGGCTCCAGCACCCAGGCAGTTCCTCCCCCAGCTGTGGCTGTCTCTGAGAGAGACAGATCACCCCACTCCCACACGGTTAACAAGGCTCGATTGAGAATGCGGAGCTGGCCATTGTAGAACAAGAGAGTTCCTTGATGAAATCATAAATCAGGCCCTGTCTCCGCTAGCTGAGGTTTACAATCAGACACAGAGGAAGCCAAATGGCCCTCACAGCCCCAGGCTAGGGCAGATACCCCAGGGAAGGTCAACCATGCAGAACCCTACAAAGTATGCCAGGCTCTTCCTCGCTTCCCCCTGCTCCCCCATGGCACCCTTCTAGTTCTCAGAGGCCAGTTCTCCCCCCGCCCAGTCATTAGTGTCCCCATCCTGTGGGGTGGCCAGGGCTGGTATCAATACACAGAAAGCATTCCTTGCACCCATGTGTGCCCCAGATTGGCACAATCATCCGTCACCACTGCATCCAGAGTTGCAGGGCCCTTCGTGCTCATCCCCATCCTTCTTGCCAGTGTCCCATCCAATGGATGGAGGCCACGTCTGTGTCACCCTGTCCTCTAGATGCAAGTGGAAGCAGCCTCCCTCTCCCAGGCATTCCTCCTCCTTGCCTGTTTTCCTCTGTAAAGCAAATCTAAATCAGGTCACCTTCAGATACTGTGGGAGTGAGCTGGCATGGGGCCATTTGTAGGTGATACCAGGCTGTCTCAGAGACACCGGACAAACTGCTTAGTAGCTGACAGATGGAGCTGCTCTGGCTGTGTTGGCGAGACCAGCAGCCACTGCTCAGGGGACCCCACACCGGTTAACTCTTAACTCCTTATCCAGCTGAAGGTGAATGGGCGGCTTGACCGTGAGGAGTTTGCGAGACTGTGGAGGCGTCTTGTCCACTGCCAGGTAGAGGCCTGTTCTCTCCAACTAACCTTCTTATTTTATCCAGTTTTGCAAATATTTATGGAGTATCCAACCCTGCATCGGGATTGAGGGGTATACAAGGAGAGGAAGCCTCACCCTGCTCCCAGAGGTCATATTGCAGGAAAGGGCCAAGAGGTTGGGAGGCTGGAGGAGAGATAGGAGTCACCATAGCTAGAACGGTCAGCTGGCAGGGTGCTCCTTGTTCCTCCCCAGACTCAGTCTGTGAGGCCACCCCATTCTCGTCCGATGCTTCTGCCAGAGCATCTGCCCAAAGCACAGACAGCTGGCTATGGCCTGACTGTGGCCTCCTCATTGCCCTCAGGACAAAGTCTAAGTCATGAGAGCAGCACACGAGACCCTCTGCTTTGGGCCCCTACTTTTGAGTCATGGAGAAACCCTTTTTACTCATTCGCCTTCCTCTGAGCCCAACGACAAGACAACTTCCCGTTCCATATATACACTATGCCCTTGCGCCTTTGGCCTGCGCTTTCTTCTCCTCCCCTGCACCCTGAGCCTTGCCAACGCATGCGCACATTTAGTCCAGCCTCAAACACTGCCTGTGGAGCCCTCCTTGCTGGCCTCCCTGACATGAGTAGTGCCCCTCTGGCTCCTAACACGTGGACCTACATCTGCCAGCACAAGCCACACTCTGCAGTCTTACTGCTTTGTACTTAAAAATAACTTTTCCTTGCTATAAAAGCAACGCCTGTTCATAGGAGAAAATACAGATGAACAAAAATAAGCTTAAAAATAACACATTACCTTACCCAAAGAAAACTATTAACACCTACCCTAGTGACTATTTCTCATAATTTCTCCTGTAATATGTACACATACACTAAATAAAAGTATAACATGCTTTTAAAAAATAAGAACAGGGGGTGGTGGTGCACGCCTGCAATCCCAGAACTCGGGAGGCTGAGGCAGGAAGATCGTTGCAAGCTCGAGACCAGCCTGGGCTGCAAAGTGAGCTCAAGGCCAGCCTGAACTGTGTACTGAGACCCTGTCTCGAAAGGCAAAAAATTAATTAATTAATTAAAAAAATAAGAAAGCACCAGCATACTGGAAGTCTAACCATGTCTGTAAATATCTATGGAATAATTAAAGGCTGAGAGGAAAGAGCATCTGTGTGGCTCTGCCAGGATGCATCACAGAGGTCAGGGACCCTGGTCACTTGGTTTCTTGCAGGGCACGGAAATTGTTGGCATATTCATTCCCCCTTTAAATCGCAGTGTCCTCCAGGGCAGGGCCTCCTCATATCCATTTGTCCCCAGTGCCTTCCACAGTGTGTGTAATATAGCAGCATTAAAAAATGCTGACTACATGACCAAACCAATGAGTTACCAAAGGAATAAGAGAATACCCAATGGGAACACTTGAGGTCTGACCTTTGCTCACCAAGAGCCATGCAAGGCCAAGGAAACCCTCTTCAGCTGCTGTGCACGTTGTCTTCCGCAGTCAGCCTCAACCGCTGTGGGAGCGATTGTGCTGGAAAACCCCTGGGGGCAGCTCTGCAAAGACCAAAAGTGGCCTCCCAGCAGCTGCACATGGAGCCCAAGGCCAGGTCTCTTCCTGCGTGCGCGGCAGCTTCCTCACGTGGGGAGCATGATGATGAGCAGGAGTACAGTGAGGGTCAGCCATAGGAGGGAAAGTGATGCATGAGTTACTGCTTCCTGCAGCTGCGCTCAGGTCAAGGACCCAAATCAAGGTCTAACCTGCTCTCAATACCTTCAACACAGCATTCACTCCTGTTCAAGGTACACTCCTAACACCTTCTAAATATTTGCCGGGAGAGACACAGTGACACCTGAGATTCGGTACACAGTTTGTAAATAGTTGGGCCAGGACTTATGCCCTGGATGCTTGCTCATCAAGTCTGTGCTCTTGGCCACTACCCTTTGCAGACTCTTCACGTAGCCCTGTGCTTCTTGTAAAGACAGCAAAGTGTGCTAGGTGTGGGATCCCTCTCAGGCGGGAAGAGGGAAGGAAGGCATGTTGGAAGAGGGGAACCCACAGGCCCCTGCGGTGGCCACTCCTGCCTACACCACCCTCTCTCCCGTCTGACAGCCTGCCGTGGGCTGGGTCCACCGAGGCTTTAGTGAGGCAAACTCCAGGAATGGAAAAGGGATTTCCCACCCATACCTTGCAGGTCTTCATAATGTCTTCTTTCTTCTTTTCCCCTTTTCCCATGCCAGCATGTTTTCCAGAACATCCAGAAAAGCTCTGGAGTTTTCCTGAGCTCAGACTTGGGCAAGGCCGTAGAGAATACAGGTAAGGCGGGGGCCCTTGGAGCTGGGTGTCCTGGGCTCATGTGGGGAGAGGGTGCCCTCACTCCCAGCATGCTGTAAGACAGTAGGCTGGGCAGTCAGGTGAGAGAGCAGCTTGAGCTCCTGCATCCACCCCTGCTCTATCACAACCTTCTTGGGTCTCCAGGGCTCCAGGCTCAGGCATCACGCCCCTGACAGAGCTCTCTGTGCTAGTCAATTTTCGCAGCTGCTTTTTCTCCCCAGCACAGCTCTAATTGTGAGAAAATAACCCTCTGTGATAAACACCCTACTAGGAATGGAGCTCACCTTCCAGAAACTTCCAGTTCAATGTCTGGGCCATCAGAGTTAAATACTCGCAGACAGGCTGATGGTTTCTCTTCCCTCTTCATGAAGAAAGTGGGGCTAAATGAAATCAAATGGCACCTGCGTACTTCAAGGAGACAAAAGCGTTCTGCCCTGGGCTAATGATAACAATACCTTTGAGGGTGTCTGGGCTGTGTAGCTGCCTAAGATCTCCTGTGTAGGTCATGTCAAGTGATTATCTTGACTACCCTGAGACCTTAGAAGGGCAGGAATCATTGCCTCCATTGTACCACTGGGGAAAACGGATCACGAAAAGGTTAATGAAATGGCCACTTTCCTCAATAAACTGTGAAATTGCGCTCCCCCAGGTTAACTCCATAATTCTCCCTCCCATGGCTCCTGGTCTGGACAGGGATAGAAATACAGAGCTCTCCACTGGAGCATAGATGCTCCTTTAGTTCTCCAGAACACGGGCCCGCAGAGCTCAACCCTGAGGGGCATCAGAGCCCCCTGCTCAGGGCTTGTGAAAACACAGAAGGCTGAGCCTCCCTTTGTTACTATCCAGAGGTCCAGCTGGGCCTGGAGATCTTGCTTCAACTAGCACCCAGGTGGTGCTCCTGCCCCTGTCTGGGACACACCTGAGAACCACTGAAGACCAGTTAAAGAAGAAATCATTAAAAGAGCCTTCACTAAAGAGTTCAGAATAATAAAAAGAGAAAAAAATAAAGACTAGTTTAAATTCAACTGAAAACAGCTCAGGGCCTCAGGACCTTGTAACCATAAGTGAATGAGTGATTGGAAAAGTGGCGAGCAGAGGTGGTATGGCCTCTCTGAAGGAATTTTGAGATGGGGATCGAATGTGTCTCTGGCTGCAGGGGCCCACAGGCCACTAGGCTCATCTCGTGGTAGAAGACTCAGCTTGCAAGCTTTTGCTGCTCACCAGGGTTTGCAGGCCCAACTGTGTGCCAGTCTGCACTGTCCTCTGTGGCTGGCGCCTCCTTGGAACTTATAACTAGACTGCAAAGTGACAAGGCCAAAAAGGGCTAGGTGACTTCTGCCCAGCCGAGGCCTTCTTCTGAGTGCTGCTCTCCCCTGTGAGAACCAGCCTTTCCCCGGGAGCCAATATACACTTAACCTCACTCTTCTAAGGAAACCACACCTGCTCACCCTAGCAGCATCCATGCAGAAGGCCCACAGAGAATCCTGGGGTCAAGGAGGAATGCAGCTTTATAAAATCAGCCACAGAGAGAGCCACAGAGAGACCCAGGGCTAGACGCAGCCCCAAGTCCTGCCAGCCCCCATGATACGCAGGATTATCCCAATGGGAAGGCTGGTGTGTCTCCCGAAGAACACTCTGTCTTGTCTCTTGAGCTGGTCTCTGGCCAAGCTCCTGAACTGTGTCATTAGGGCCCAGCCAGAGAAGACTGGAAGATCAAAGAGGTCCTGAATGGCCACCAAATCTGGCTGAACAGGAGTGGTGATGGGAGGTCACTGAGCACTCTGAACAAATTTCCCAAGTCCCGAGAGACAGAGAGGCATCCACCCTTCCCTACCTCCACCTTCTCCCTGTTTACCAGCTCACCCTGTGGCCAGACTTCCTTATAGGCATCTCCATCAGCAGTGAGCTGCTGGATCTCATGACCCTTCGGTACAGTGACAGCACCGGTCGGGTCAGCTTCCCCAGCCTGGTCTGCTTCCTGATGCGGCTGGAAGCCATGGCAAGTAAGTGTCCCTGGGGAGAGAACCTGCTGACCCAGGCCTGCCTGAGGCATCCCTGCTAAAAGAGCACAGTATCAACAGCGGCTGGGAACTAATAGTGTGGTCACTAAAATAAATCGGATCCCTGGCCTCCCTTCCACACCATGCCCACCACAACATCCCCCATCCCAGGTCTCTTGTTTCCTCTTCACCCTGTCTACTAGGCAGGTCCCCAGACTGTGCCCGTGAAGGACAGACAAGCCCACACATTTCCTGGCTGAGTGCAGACGGATGCAAAGGGCAAGGAATCTGGAAGAGAAAGGGCCAGAGCAGTCACAGAGAGCTGTTTTGAGAACTTGAGCCCACAGGTGACCCACCATGTACAGCTTCCCAGAAAGAGGAAGATGGAGGATGTGCTCAGTCTGTGGACTCAGAATCCCCACAGCACTTCTGTCCTCTCCTGGGCCCTGACCTGCTCCGATCCCCTTCTCCTCAGTCAGTGGAAACTTTTCCTTCTTTATCCTAGAGACATTCCATAATCTCTCCAAGGACGGGAAAGGACTCTACCTGACAGAAATGGAGGTGAGGCACCTTCCCTTGCCAAGGCCAGGCACAGCCCCAGGGCTGCCTTCCCTGATCTACTTCCAGGGGGCATTTTTCTCCCTGAGGATATTGAACAGTCCATCAAAGGCCAGCCAAGTTGCTGGCCCCCCTGCCTCCAATTACTGCCTTTATATATTGCTGGCTGCCAGGCTGCTTTAGGATCTTGGCAGACAGATTTTATTTTTTTCCAATAGCTTAATAAAGCAGAGGATTATGTGGGAGTCATAAATCCAAGAGGGAACTGAATAACAGCCCGCTGAGCTCACTGTACATTAAATTTGCTCCCACTGAATTTTAGAGCCTCCCAACTGGCCAACTGGTCCACCTTAGATATACTTCTCACTGCCTGGCTTTTGAGGGAATAGCAGAAGATATGTTGTAACAGGGGGCTTAGACCTTGGACTTGGGTTAGAATTACCTGAAAAGGGGTGATGAGACTGAACTGAGATCTTCCAAGGGAGGAGGATAGGACTCACACATCTCTCTATAGGAAGTAAACAAGCTTAAAGCATTGTCATGCTTATTTCTCAGTGGATGAATCTGGTCATGTACAACTGAGGCAAGGAGCAGAGCAGACCCCATGCACAAGGTAAGATATGGTGGTTTGGAATTCTGTCTCCTTCCTGTGAGCATTCCCATTTCCTCCAGGAACTATACATAACTTTCCCTGGGAAACCTCCTCAAGGTTACAGAACTCCCAAGGCTCAGCAACTTAGGACCCCTAAGTTTCAAGGCCAGTGCTATAGATTTCATCTAGGTCATGTGGACCAGGGGACTTTCCTGAAGAGGTATGGTGTAAAAGTCATGAACAAAAGATTTAGAACTCTTAATTGAAATTTCAAAAAGGAAACCACTAATCACAGGCAAAGCAGTAGAAATGGTGGAAAGAGAATGGTGTGCTGCAATAGAAGGATAAACATACTTGGGGAGAATGGAGTTGGATTCAGCCCCTACTCTACCATTGCCTCACTATGCAGCTTTGGGCTGATCAGGATACTTTGTAGCAGTCAGTGTTTCTACATCCAGCATGTGTGTGCTGAAGAACAAATACCCATGTCACATTTCCTCTAAATTTATTGTCATGGAACAGACCTTAGGTACCGTAGGTGGCAAACTTATGGCACATGTGTTGTTTTACAAAACAAAAGATATTAATGTATGAGTTGTTTTTTCTAAACTAAAACAGCAGTGTTCATGTTTAATTGCAGTATTGGTGCTTTGCAATAAACAAGTGAGTTTTGGGGTTGCAGTTTGAGCACTCATCTCTAAAAGGTTCACCATCACTGCCTTAGAGTTACGTAGTCCACACCCACCTTGTTGTAGCAGAAGCTCCAATAGAGTTTTGAGAATCCTCTAAGACAGAGGAGCTCAAGTGTTCCTCACTGATGGACATCTCCAGGTGTTCGGTATTCTTTATCCGGGGGCAGCAATCTATTTCCCTGGAACTTTTTACCCCTGCTTCTAGTTCTACTACCAAAAAAAGGACTGGGCATGCCAGGCCTTGAAGTGCTTGAGGATGCCTTTGTTGTCTCACCCCAGGCCATTGTTTTAGTTATCCCTGTCAATTCTCATCTGAGACACCCTGTTGTCCATTTTCTATGTGCCAGTGTCCCTTTGATAAATAGTTCTCCATACAGCAGTCCTGTGATCAAGGCCTTCTGAAACTGTTGTTTTTGTAAATAGTGCTTATTTCATCTACCAGTCATTACCTTGAAATCACAAGAAAGACCTTGTCTCCATAAAGAAATAACACCTTAGCATAAAGATTTCCTCATGAACAGTGCTGCTTCCTAATGACCACAAATAACCAACTGGCAAAGATCATAGTTAATTGGACTCGACTGGATCCTCTTGAATTCCCCTTTCACTCCTTTAAAAAAATAGATCATTTCCAGTTTTAACATGCCTGGTTCAATCTGCATAATTTTTAATATCAAAAATGACTCTTCAATTGTATCTTTAAGCTTATTTGGCACACAAGACCTAAATGCTAAAGCTTTTAAAGTAACTAAATTCTTCCTCACTATCTTCTCCATTTAGGGTCCCAATTCTCTCTTAACTAATCTTACTACTCTTTCTGTTTTGATGATAATATAGGAAGTAGGCAATGTGTGGTTATGTATATTTCAGTCTCTCCTTAATGTCTATCATCAACTCTAATAATGCCCCTCTGGTTCTGTAAATTAATCACAGCCTCTGACATCACATTATTAAAGCATATCTATCCACTCTTGTCCCATGAGCTGATTTGCAGAACTGGAGGAAGGAGAATGAAGAATTTCTTCCTCCAAGCCTACAAATCCACCTTCATCAGCAGCCATCTCCTCCTTCCTCCTGTTATGTTAGCAAGCATGTCCCTCTGAGGGTGTTCTGTATCTCATTACCATCCGCCTTTGCAGGGGCTTGATTGAATGAGTTCTCTCCTCTGTCTTCTGAATACTAAACCTGTCTCTCTTTGGAGCTTTCCAATTCCCATTCAAGTATGTCTGTCTTTCAGATTTCTTCTAGCTCATATTCCCCTCCAGCTATAGTTGCATCTCTGTCCTCTGTTACAGCCAAACTTCCTGGAAGAGCCCATTGTCTCCATACCCTCCCACCCACTCTCTCTTCAAACCCCTTTAATTTAGATTTCTTAGGGCATCATCTTTCTTCCTGACTTTCATATTGTTTCCAATCTAATTTTTTTACATTTATTCATATCCCTCAAATCAATTACCTGCAAACCAAATAAGTATTTAAAAATGCAGGTGCACCCATTGCCTTCCCTAGATTAAAACCCTTCAGCGACATCTGATTGTTGTACAGGACAAGCCTAGAAACATTAACATGGACCCCAAGAGCCTGCATTCTCTGGCCCCTGCCCACAAGTCTAACCACATCTTATTCCTGCCTTGACTCCCACCACACCTGGGTGCATTGTTTCATTCTACTATCGGTGTTTTTTCCAGCTTCAGGGCTTTTCCTTTATTGATCGCTCTGCTTGGAGTGTTAGTCACCCAGACTCTTGATTCTCCGTATCTTAGCTCAGTGGGATCCCTAAATGACATGCTGACACACTCCCCTTCCCCAGCATAGCACTCCACACTCTTTATTTTGTTGCCTAGTCCTTCTATTTTTTAGAGATTTATCGAGATATATTTATCACCCATCATACATACAGGTCACCCATTTAAATTATAGAGTTCAGAGGTTTTTAGTGTAGTCACAGTAACCGTCACCACAATATATTTTTAGAACATTTTTCACCAGTACAAAAAGAAATCCTACGGCCATTTAACAGTCATAGTTGATCCCACCTTGAGTCCTAGGAAACCACTACTCTACCATCTAAATCTGTAGATTTCCAATGTCTGGGCATTACATATAAATGGAATCATGAAAGATGTTGTCCATTGTGACTGGATTCTTTCACTTTGCATTGTGTTTTCAGGGTCCATCCATGTATAAATATGTTCTTTTTCAGGGTTGTGTTAATATAGCATTCCTTTTTAGTGCCAAATGATATTTTGTTGCTATACCCTTATTTTATTCACCTATTCATCAGTTGATAGATGTTTAGGTTGTTTTTTCTTTTAGACTATTGTTAATAGTATTACTATAAATGTTCATGTGCAAGTTTGGGGGTGGATATGTGTTTTCATTTTACTTGGCTGTATGCCTAGGAATGGAAATGCATGATCATATAGTAATTCTATGTGTAACGTTTTGAAGAGCTGTTCTTTCAAAGCACCATCTCTATTCCCACCAGCAGTGAATCAAAGTTACAACTCCTTCACACCCTCACCAAAACTTTTTGTTGTTATTCATCTCCATATTTCGACTGTGCTAGAGGGTGTGAAGTGATATTTCACTGTGATTTCGATTTGCATTTCTGTGATGACAAATGACCTTGGTCATCTTTCATGCACTTAAAGACCACTTGTGTATCATTCAGTAACCATTTCTGTGGAGAAAAATTTATTTAGATCCTTTGCCCATCTTAAATTGGGTTATTTATCCTGTTGCTATTCTAGTTACTAGTTCCTTATTGTGTATGTAATTTAAATTTTTTTCTCCCATTCTGCAGGTTGTCTTTTCAGTTTTTTGACAGTATCATTTGCAGTACATGAGTTTTTAATTTTGATGAAGTTCAACGTATCTACTTCTTTTATCACTTACCCTTTTGTGGGATATCTAAACCGTTATTTCCTAAGCCACGGTCGCAAATATTTACACCTGTTTTTCTTCTAAAAATTCTATCGTTTAGCTATTTTGAGGTCATTTTAAAAAATATGTTTAAAGCAGGAGTCTAATTTCATTCTTTTGCATGTGGATATTCAGTTTTCCCACTGAATATCACCACATCACCACTTGTTGAGAAAAACAATTCTTTCTTCCATTGTATTGTCTTAGCACCCTTTAGGAACATCAGCTTATCACAGTGTAAGGATTTATAACCAGGTTTTCATTGCCATTGCATACATTTATGTGTCAGATCTTAGGCTGGTACCACCCTATGTTGATTACCGTGGTTCTGTGGTAAAGTTTGAAGTTAGGAAACATGAGTCTTTCAACTAAATTGTTGAAGATTATTTTGGCTATTCTGAGTTCCTTGAATTTGCACATGAATTTTAGGATTAACTTGTCAATTTATGGGGGACAAAGAAGGGAAAGGCCACCAGTATGCATTTAGGTATGAATTTTAGGATCTGCTTGTCAATTTATGGTGAAAAGAAAGGGGCAGCTGGAATTTTGATGGAGAACATTAAACCTACAGATTAACTTGGGAAATATTGTTATCTCCACAATGTGAAGTTTTTGATTTATGAATATGAGATGTCTTTCCACTTTTTAATGTTTTCTTTAATTTCTCTTTAAAATATTCTCCTGTTTTCAGTGTGCAAGACCTACATTTTCTTTGTTAAATTTATCCCTAGGCATTATGTTATTTTAGATGCTCTTGTAAGTGAAATTATTTTCTTAATTTCATTTTCAGATTGTTCCTTGCTAGTGTATAGAAATAAATTTGATTTTTGTATACTGATCTTATACCCTACAACCTTGCTAAATTTGTTTATTAGTCTAACCATCTTTTAAGGAGTTCCTTAGGATTTTACATTACACAAAATCCTGTCATCTGAAACTGGAGGAGTTTTATTTTCTCCTAATTTTGTGCCACTTATTTCTTTTTCTTGCTTAATCATCCTGGTTAGAATTTCTAGTGTAATACTGAATAAGAGTGCAGAGAGCAGGCATCCCTTTGTTCTTGATCTTGGCAGAAAATACCCAGTCTTTCACCATTAAATATGATGGTAACTTAGGCGTTTTAACAGATACCATTTGTCAGGGTTTGCATAGCTGTCATTTGTCAGTTGAAGAAGTTCCCTTCTGTTTGTAGTTGGCTGAGTTAACATGCTTTTAATTACTTGCTTGATATCTGTATATATTGCTAGACTGTGAGCATAGGTATGTCTTATTTGTTGCTATCCCCTCAGTATAAAGCAAAATGCTTGGCAAAGAGAAATCATGCAGTAGCCATTTCCCAAATGACTGAAAGAAATTGTTATTTCAGGCTTATGGTCTCCTCTGTTTTATTCTCATCTCTACATTT